GCGTTCGTGGGCCGCCGGCCTGGTCACCGGTCCAAGCGTGTGCCAGCCGTGTTCAAGCTCTGACGGTGCTTCCGCTTCTGAATCGAGGTGGCAAGAATGGCAAGGCATCCAAAGCACAGTCTGAGCACCAGCGCGGCGCTCGTACCCAACCACATCGACACCACTCGCACCAATGTCTTGCTGCACGACCTCGTCCTCCTTCCGCATGCTCACCGTCGCCCTGGCGGCGGCGAGCGCGGCGGACGCCTTCGCTCCACTCCGCTCCAAGCTCCCCTCGCCGTCGGCGGTCCGCGTCTTCGCGACCGCCGGCGGTGAGCCGTCGACGCCCGAGGCCATGCTCGCCGCCGCCGAGGCGCTGCGCGTCGAGGTCGCGGCCTTCGAGACGGAGCGCCTCTCGGAGGCCAAGGCGGCCGCGTTCGCCGCGTTCTCGGTGGCCGACTCGGACGGCGACGGCGTCCTGGGCAAGGAGGACGTGGCGTCGTTCCTCAAGGTCGACGAGGCCCTGGCGGTCAAGGTCATGGCGACCTTCGACGTCGACGAGGCCGGGGCCCTGACCATCGACGCGCTGCTCCCGCGGACGAATTCGGGCGACAAGGGCACGCTCGAGACGGTCAGCGGGGCTCTCTTCGCCGTCACCCTCAAGGGCGCGCTGCGCGACGTCCTCGCGGCCGAGCGCGAGGCGTCGCGGACCGCGAGCGACGAGGACGCGTCGCGCGAGGCGGCCAAGGCGGAGTTCGCCTCGGTGGCGTCGCGGACCGACGCGGCCGCTCGCGCCACGGCAGCCGCCGCCTTCCTCCTGCCCCTCTTCGACGTGGCGAACGAGTACGGCGGCCACCTCATCGCCGGCGCCCTCCACGGCGGGAACCCCGCGGCGTCCGCGGCCGCCGGTGCCTTGGCCCAGTCTGCGGCGCTCTTCAACGCCGTCCCGTTCGGCTACTTCGGCGCCTTCTTCGTGCTCTCGGGCGCGGCCGCGGACCCGTCCAAGCCGGAGCTCGTCCGCGTCGCGTCCCGGGCCGCGGTCCTCGCCGACATCGCCCTCCAGGGTCCCAAGCTCCTCTTCGCCGTCGCGCTCTTCGCGGCCAACGCCTACGGCGCCGCGCAAGGCGTCGACGCGATGGCCCTCCAGCTCGACCCGAACGCGAACGCGGCGCTCTCGGCCCTCGCCGCCCTCGACCTCACGGCCTTCAACGACGGCGTCGCCGCCGTCGCCGGCGCGGCGACGCTCTACGCGCTCGTCTCGAACGCGCTCGGCGTCAAGGCCGACAAGATCCCGCTCCTCTCACAGAGCGCCCAGGACTACGTCGACCGGCGGACGCCCGACTTCGACATCGACAACGACGGCGACGGCCCCCAACCCTCCTTCTAGATACGTAAGCCCCTCTGTACATGCCAGTGAGTTTCTCCGAGTCAAACCGACACCGCCACTACTCTTCGACACATTCATGTCGTTCTCCATGCCCGCCTCGGCGGCGTCGTCGTCCTTGCGCCAGGCGGGCTTGGCGTTCAGGAACGCGAGGCACCAGACCGCGAAGGTCTGCGCGGAGAGGAACGCGGCGACGACGACGCCAAGCGCGACTCGCCCGCGCGCAAGCGCAGCATCTCGGGCTCGGGCGACGACGCGGCGTGAAGATTGTTAGGCTATACTCGCGCGTCGAGGTGCGCGAGGGCCTGTATAGCTGTCTCGTAGCCCTTGGCAGCGGCGCGCTCGAGCCAGTATCTGGCTTTGCCGAGGTCGACTTCCGTGCCGACTCCTTCCATGTAACACACGCCAAGGTTGTTCTCTCCAGAGGCAAAACCTTGATCCGCCGCGAGCGCGTAGTACTGGAACGCTTCTTCAACTTTCTTCTCACGACGAAGCAAAACCCCTATATTGAATTGCGCGACCGCGTAGCCCCGATCTGCGGCCGCGAGATACAGCTTCATCGCCTTCTTCTTGTCCAGCTTGACGCCACTTCCAGTATCGTGCAATTGCGCAAGAAGTGCCATCGACTCCACGTCGCCGAGCTCCACGGCGCGCTTCCAAATCTTCGCGGCTTTCTTATCGGATTTCACGAGGCCGTAGTGACCGCGGCGGTACGCATTTCCCAAAAACGAAATCGCTTCCGGCACCTCGTTCTCCACATGGCGGCGAAGACGTGCGAGCGTTTCTGCACTGTTTTCCGCGCGCGGTACACGACAGAGGGGACACGCGTCTTCGATCTTGTCCTCACACGACTTGCAGACCAACCGGCAGCAACAGACGCGAAGCACGTTCGTCGCATTCACGTCCCACTCCTCCAAGCATATCGGGCACCGCGACCCGTACCGCTCCGACGTCGGCTCCGGCTCCGGGTTCGCCTCGCGCCGCGCGCGAGCGGCCTCGTGTTCAGCCGCAATGCGCGCGCGGACCTCGTCTGCGTGCGACCGCGGCGCGGGGCCGTAGAACACCTCCTCCGGCGGCGACGGCGGCGCCTCGGCCCGCACCGCCTCCGCCGCCCGCTCCGCCCGAATCTTCTTGCACGCCTTGCGGTGGCCCCGCTCGCGCCAGTCGATGCGTTGGCATTCAGTCGAACAATACTGCGTAGTTCCGCACGGGCAGTTCAGCAAGGTTCTCGGTTTCGCCCCACAAATCGTGCACGTCAAACGCAGCTGTAGCGCTTTCGCCCGCGCCTTCTTCTCTTCGTATTCGCGCTGCTTCTCGACGTACTCGGCCTTCATGATAGTTTGCGGGGCGGCGCGCGGGTCCTGGTCGCAACAATGGTAAAATCGCTCAAAATCTTACCCGGCTAAGCCCACCCCTAGGGCATCAAACGCCAACTACGGTTAGTCGACCGGCGCCATGAATCGGAGCTTCGCGTCGCCGCTCACGAAGACCAAGTCCTCTGCGTCGGGGTCGTCGACGGGCTTGACGCGGACGGCGCCCGTCGCCGCGTCCTCGCTCACCGTGAGGCCGGCGACCCAGGCGTTCTCCGCCTCGTCGAGGTAGAGCACCTGCCAGTTGCACTCGGCGACGTCGCCCTTGGGCGGCCACTCGTACGGGTCCTCCGACGCGTCCTCGTCCTCCGCCTCGTCCGCGTCCTCGTCCTCCGCCTCGTCCTCCGCCTCGTCCTCCGCCTCGTCCTCCGCCTCGTCCGCGGCCTCGTCCGCGGCCTCGTCCTCCGCCTCGTCCCCTTCGTCCGCGTCCGCGTCCTCGTCCGCTTCCTCCGCGTCCGCGTCCTCCGCCCCCGCGTCGGCGTCGGGCGCCCAGTCGTCGAGCTGGCGCGCGGGCGTGTCGTTCGTCGGCGGCTCGACGTACGCCTCCGGCTTGATGAAGCGCACGTCCTCGGAGCCGTACTCGAGCCACTCGTCCTCGTCTCCGCTCGCGAAGCGCACGCAGACGCCGTCGTCGCCGTCGAGCTCGTCCATGTCCGCCTCGAAGTCGGCGATGACGCCGTCGGCCCACGCGCCCGTGTCCTCGTCCTTGACCTGGACCGCGCGGCCGACGACCGAGGCCCGGTCGGGCCAGACCGCCGCGTCCTCCTCTTCCGCCTCGGGCCCCTCCTCCTCCTCGGGCTCCTCCTCGGCCTCGACGAAATCCTCCCCGGGCTCCTCCTCCTCCTCGGGCGGCGGCGTCGCCGGCGGCTCCTCGGCCTTCGACGCGGCCGCTCGCAGGCGCTCGTTCTCCTCGCGCAGGCGCGACAGTTCGCCGGCCTCCTCCAGTTCGCCGGCCTCCGCCGGCAAGGGCTCCTCGACGTCGTAGACCTCGATGCGCCCGGGCGGCGCCTCCTCGGACTCCTCCTCCTCGTCGGACGACGCCGACAGGTCCGAGTCGGGCGGCGCGAGGTCGTCGACGAGCCCGTCGACGTACTCCCGCGCGGACAGCGCGTGCTCGCGGCGCGCGGCGGGCCCCGCGGGCCGCCGCTCGGCGAAGACGGCGTCCAGCGTCTCGCGCGCGAGGCGGTCGAGCTCCGCGCGGCGCCGCTTTTCGTCGTCGCTGATGTCCGCGCTCAGGTCCGCGATGTAAAAAACGAGCGACCGGCACAGGTCGACGGTCTTCGGCGCCTCGACGAGGGCGTCGCTGACGGCCTTGGCCACGCGCTGGACCATGCCGCCGTCGCCGACGGCGCGCTTTGCCAGCGTCGCGCGGTGCCAGGTCACGAGCCTCGCGTGCGCTCGCCGGAAGACGCAGCGCTCGACGGCGCGGTGGAGCGCGGACGCGCCGAGGCAGCGCCGCCGCGCGGCCCGCTCGAAAATCTCCAAGTCCTCGCGCCGTTTCACCTCGACGTCCGTGCGCGCGCGCTGCGCCTCGAGGCGCTGGCGCGTCGTCGCGAGCCTTACCGCGGTCCGAGCCTTGGACGCGTCCGCGCGGATGTCGCGCTCGTCGCCGACCGCGCGCGCCCGGAGCGCGTCCTCCGCGGACCGCGCCGCCGCGGACTTGGCGGCGTCGGCGTCCCGGAGGGCGCGCTTTGCCCGCCAGGCGATCGCGAGGCGCTCCGCGCCCGCGGCCGCCTTGGTCGTCGCCGGCCGGAGCAGCCGCCCGCGGTAGACGCGCTGCACGGCGAGGGCCGCGGGCACGAGCTCCCGGCGCCGTTTGCGCTGGCGCTGGAGCCGCACGATGCGCCGCACGGCGAAGAAGATGGTGAGCTTGCCGTCGCGGGCGCGCCGCGATTTCCGCCGCGCGAGCCACGGCCGCGCGAGCCTTTGGACGACGGCGACGGCCGCCGCGGTCCGGGCGACGCGGTCCTTGGATCGCAGGTCCGCGGCGCGGTTCCACCGCGCCCGGTAGCGCTCGTAGTCCGCGTCGGCCTTGCGCCGCGCGTTCGACTCCAACGTTTCGTGGAACCGGCGCTCGTTCTCCGCGCGGCTCGCCGCGCCGCGGCGCTCGCTGCGCTGGAGCGCGGCCTCGAGGCGGCCCTGGGCGTTCTCGTAGACGTCGCAGCGGTCCTTGGCGTCCCGCGCGCGTTGCTTCGACGCGGCCGCGGCCTCCGTCGCGGCCTCGCGGTCGCGGCGCGCGGCCGCGGCCTCGCGCTCGAGGTTCGCGTTCTCGAGCTTCGCGCCCTCGCGCGCGGCGACGGCCCAGTGCGGCGGCGGGCCGCCGACGTCGCCGACGGCCGCGGACCGCTCGAGCGCCGCGCGCGCGTCTTCGAGGTCCTTCTCGAGCCGCGCCTCCCGGTCTCGCGCGCCGTCGCGCTCCTCCCGGAGCCGCGCCCGCGCCGCGCGCAGCGCGTCCCGGTCGTCGCGGAGCAGCTCCGCGGCGACGGCCGCGACGGAGTCGCCGCCGCCGCCCGATCGGCGCCGCCGGCCGCCCCCTCTTCGATGCTCGCCCGCGTAGCGCGCGAGGGCCTCGTTGTACTCGCGCGCGAGCTTCAGCTCCCGCTTCGCCCGCCGCGCCCTGCGGATCGCCGCGCGCTTGCCCTCCACCGCCGCGTCGCGCTCGCGGCGCGACGCCTCGACGCGGCCCTCCTGGCACCGGTCGAACGACGCCTGGTCGGGCACGGGCGGCCCCTTGGCGAGCGGCACGGGCTTGATGCCCGGCCCGGGCTCGAAGACCGGCGGCGGCCGCCACGTCGCGCCGTCGACGTAGCCGCCGTTCTTCTTCTTCGTGACGTCGACGACGGCGCAGGGCCCGAGCGCGCGCGCGACGGCGCCGCCGAGCGGCGCGCCCGCCGGCGTGGCTTTTAGAGTATCCACGAGCTCGTCGGCGTTCTTCGACGCCAGCAGGGCCACGAAGACGCTCAGCTCGCAGCCGCCGTCGTGGCGAGGGAGCGCAGAGCCCACCCTCACGCGTTTGCTCGCGACGTCCGCGAGCCGCGCGACTCCCTTGTGGACGAGCGCCGCGCCCTCGCCCGCGTCCGCGGCGCGGAGCGCGGCGCAGCGGGGGAAGGCGAGGCGCAGGCCCAGGAGGTACTTGACGCGTTTCGAGACGATGTCCTTCTGTTGTGCGGGTTCGACGTTCTCCTTCCCCCTGGGACTCCGCGCGGCGTCGCTCTTGGCCTCGACCGCGCGCACGAGGGTCGCGCTCAGTTGCGTGTCCCGGCAGATGGCCGCCGTCGACAGGAGCAGCGTCCACGTGGCCCAGTCGACGCGGTCGGCCTGGAGCCTGTCCTTCTTGGGCGCGAGCGCCTCGACCATGGACCGGAGGCCCGACCGCCGCGAGAGGACCGCGCCGAGCACGGCCTCCGCGTGGGGCGCCACGGGCGCGAGCCGCAGGCCGTCGGCGAGGGCCTTTAAAGCCACAGAGCCCTCGCCGGCGCCGGGGACGTCGAAGAAGCAGCGCTTCAGGTTGGCGACGGCCGCGGCCGTCGCCGGCAGCGGCGCCGCCGCCGCGAGCCGCGCGTACTCCACGCGGCACGTGGCCAACCCCCGGTCCGCGCGCGTCACGGGGTCCCGCAGGCGCAGTTCCAGCTTCGGGTGGAATCGGCGCTTCTCGCCGGCGCCGAGGCAGACGAGCGGCGCGAGCGCGCATTCCGCGACGGCGACCTTGTTGCGCCAGACGCCCGGCCGCTCGTCGACGAAGCTCAGGCGCAGGAGCGGCGCCGCCTGCGCCGACGCGTCGCCGCCGTCGAAGAAGTCGGACCGCGAGTCGACGAGGAGGCGCAGCTTCTCCGGCGGCGCCTTGGACGCGGCCCAGACGCCGCTGCCCGCGAGCGACGTCGACGACCGCGCGTGGTCGCCGCCGCCGCCGCCGCCGACGACCTCGACGCGGTAGAAGAGGCGCCGCGGGCCCTTGGCGACGTTCGACTCCGTCAGCGCGCAGGCGGCGTCGAGCGCGGCCTCGTCGAAGTCGACGTCGGCCAAAGAAAACTCCAACGAGCCGCGGCCGTGGTCCGCGTAGACGGCCGTGGCCTTCGCGGGCGGCGCGTCGGGCCCGCCGAGGCGCAGCGGCACCTCGGCGACGCGGCCGGGCCTCGCGAGCGCCGCCCGCAGCAGCGCCGACGCGTCCGTCGCGTCGCCGCCGGCGACCGCGACCGTCAGAGACGCCTTCGAATCTTTCTCCAGCCGCCAGAGCGCGCGCGCGGGCAGCTCGGCCGTCGCCGCGAGCGCCGGCGCGCCGTCGCCGGGGTCGAGGGTCATCGTCACGGGCTGCGTCTCGCGGCGCGACGACGGGGGCACGTCGACCGCGAAGACGCCGCCGCCGCCCGCGTCGCGGGAATCCGCGCGGCGCCGCGACGCGGAGAAGACGAGCTCGCCCCGCACCTGCGCGTCGCCGTCGAGGAGCTCGTGGCAGACCGCGTCCGCGCCCGCGTCGTCGTCGAGGTCGAGGCGCGCCAGGAGCGACGCCCAGGGCAGCGCCGCGCGGCAGGTCCCGATCGCGTCGTCGTCGCGCGCGGCGTTCGCCGCGCGCGCGGTGACGACGAGCGCCGGCGGCGGCAGGTCCTCCAAGGTCGCCAGCGCCGCGGCCGCCCGCGCGCCGTCGTCGCCCCCGGCGGCGGCGGCGGCGGCCGCGGCCGCGTCGAGCGCGTCCGCGAGCGGTTTCGGGAGGCGGCACGCGACGCGGCCCCGCGGCCAGAGCGGGTGCGTGTCCGTGCCCGCCCGGGCCAGGGGCCCCGCGGCGTCCACCACCGCGCCGCCGAAGCTCAACGTGACGGTCAGGAACGGCTCGAGCCGGCCGCGGCAGCTCGCGTGCTGCAGAAACCTGGGCAGGACAAGAGAGATTCAACGTCGCTTCAAGGTGAGTGTTCCGCGCGCGTGCGTCCCGGAAAAAGCATCCACGCTTCGAGACCGTTCCAAGAGATGATCGCTCGTCCAAAAATCAGCCAAAACGAGTGGAAAACGGCCGAGATCGGAGCCTTTGAAGTTGGGGATTTCGCTCTCCTGTCCTGCCCTGGCAGAAACCGCGCTTTGGGCGCGCGGACGACCACCGCGTCGTAGCGCCCCGTGGCCTCGAGGTGCACGCCCCGCGTCGTCGTCGCGTCGCTCAGCGCGGCGACGTCGCCGGCGCGCGACAGCGCCAGCGCGTCGCTCAGCGGCGTCCGCTCCGGCAGGGCCTGGACGCGGAGCCGCGCGACGGCGACGCGCGCGCCCCTGGCCGCGTCGCGGAGCGACAGGACGAGGTCGGCGACGCCGCCGCCGGCGAGGAGGGGGGCGGTCAACGGCACGGCGCCGCACCCCAGGGCCTTCCCGCTCGACGCCTCGAGCAGGTCGACGCGGAGCGCGGGCGTGCCGGCGCCGTCCGCGGCGACGGGCAGCACGACGCCGTCGTCGCGCCAGCGCACGTCGGCCCGCCCCGCGGGCCCCGCGACGAAGGGCGCCGGCGGCGTGTCCTCGACGGCCTCGCCGACGGCGAAGCGCAGCTGGAGGCCCAGCGCGCCGCCGTCCGCGCATTCGAAGAAGGGAACGACGCGGTAGTCGCTCGCGTGGACCCAGCCCGCGAAGGGCGCGGGCGCCCGCTTCGGCGCCGCCGTCACGGCGTCGTGGGCGCGGCGGGCCGTGCCCATCTCCCTGGCGCTGAGCGCGCGCTCCGCGACGACGCGCACGCCGACGCTCGGGTCGTCGCAGAGCTCGTCGTGGCCGCGCGCGAGCGGCACCCAGTACACGGCCTCGCCCCGGGGCAGCTGGAGCAGGGCGTCCACGGCCAGGGCCCGCCGCGCGCCCAGCGTCGTCGCGTCGGACCCGACGCGCGGGTCGCCCGGCGCCGCGCGGCCGAGCGCTAAAAGCAGCCCCGGCAGCGTCGCGCCTGCGTGGAATTCAAATCTTCAACCCGACTTCAATGTGCGCATATGCGACAGTTTCGACGCGAGCTCTTCGGCTCTGCTTCGAGAACTCGACGAGAGCAATCGATTCGTCCAAAAATCAGCCGAATCGACTTCGATTTGATCGAGCTAGAGAATTCTCAAGTTTGGTCAGGACCACCCAAACCAGTGGGTGAATTCCACT